AATGTGGTGCAAAAGGGTGAGAGTGTGTGAGGGTGTGATCAAGATATTGCTGACAGAAGGAAATGGTTTTTGCCATGTCCTGCTGTAAAACAGTAACATTCACCTCTTAATTTTTCTATTATTACACATAATTGCTTTCGTTTGGCAGGCAGCCAACGTAAACCAAGCCCGAGTTACCAGTGCTTAAGCCAGAGGACGACTGAAAGGAATCTGGTTTCCAATTCAACACTATAAAACAATGGCAACTTTTTTTTATTAAGAAAAGAAAAAAATCATTTGCAGCTATGTAAAAATAGGCACGGTGGAAAAGGCAGGGCCTTGGGGCAGCTGTGATTTTTTTTTCTTCTTGACGGCCCCCCCCCCCCTTGACTGTGTGAGACAGCAATTGAGCTCAGAACCGGCTCTGTTTCGCTGTTCAGTCTTGTCTCAGAGGCTCTTAAAAATAGCTCTCTTAAGAAAATAAGTGTGCACAACACATTTGCTCTTGGGGTTATCGTCAGTCAACCTGGGTAAGCTTTGCTACAGAGGATTAGAAGAGAACACTCAAAACCAACACACATGTTTCCTTCCAGCCATCCTGCTTTTACTCCAAAGCCCTGCAGACACGTTAATTCAGCACTGCATCTGCGAATTACTGAGCTTAAGTATTCATGGTACGCCAAATACCACCGAGGAACAACACAAAGCACCCTGCTCGTTTCTCTGGAGGACAAGTGCCACTTTCAAAACGGAAAAAAAAAAAGTCATGTCCTAAAAGCATATTTGGAAAAGAAGCTAGGTTCTGAGATGTACACAAGAGGAAGGCAAGTCAATAAAACATGTAAATGAGTCTTTGTTTCTTTTAGTGTCTGCCTTCCCACCCTAAGGGGCCATTCCTCCAAGTCTTAACTGGGTGACTTGCTCACTTGTACTGTCTACCATTTTGGGAACCTCCCAAAGCAAGACTCTTTTTACTGGGGAACCCTTAAAAATAACATCTGAATGTTTAGGATTCAAGTACCGGGTAAGGGAGATTTTTCTCTCAAAAGGAGATTTTAAAATTGTTTCCCATATGGTCGGGGCTGCTATTAGTTACGTGACAGCTGAATTTACTCACTATAAATTCTGCCTACTATTGTAGCAGTCATCCAGCTGGGGAAGAAAAGCTAAAAAGAATCGCAAGCATTGCCTCAAATAATGCTTGATTCCTTTTGATTCCCCCGTGGGGAGGGGGTAGTTTTTAACCATTGAGTATGAAAAATCCCATTGTGATGAGAATCAATAGTAATTAGGCATTCGGTCAAAAATTGCACAAGACAGAACAATC